GTGTTGGAATGACATGGTAGCCATCTGGTAAAACATAAGTTGTATCTGTTACTAACACTCTTTGGTGATTAGTTTCATGTATCACCTTATCCAGGCTTTGTTGTTGTTAAGTGCCGTCGAGTCGTTTCCGACTCATAGCAACCCCATGCACAGCAGAACGAAACACTGCCTGATCCCATGCCAGCCCCAAAATCCCTGCTATACTTGAGCCCATCATCGCAGCCACCGTGTCAATCCATATCGTTGAAGGCCTCCCCCTCTTTCGTTGACCCTCCACTCTACCAAGCATGAAATCCTTCTCCAGGCTAGTTTTCAATTATTTAATCAAACACTAATTTAGGTGTTTTTATGTAGGTATTTTGTAGATCTGGTTAACATCTACAATCAGTTGGCTTTAAAGGTTACTCTCCATAATGTGTGTGAGCCTCTGTAATGTGAGCTGAGAAAACTGAAGAATACTGAGGTTTCCCGGAGAAAAAGAAAGTATTGCTTTAAGAATTGAACATGACAAGTAGTTAGTTGGACCTGCAGGCTCAGGACCATGGTCACAGGGAAAATCAAGTTCATTTGGCATAACATACTACACAAAAACATTGTTCTATATCCTACTTTAGCAAGAAGTGACTGGGATATTATTAAAAGCTTGCAAGCAGACATCTAGATGCAATGATGGGTCTCTTCTCATCCAGAGCAAAGAAGAATGAAGAAAAGCAAAGACACAGAAACAATTAATCCAAGTGACTGGTACACCATGTGATCCTCAGCCTATATGACTATGAGACCAGAAGAACTAGATAGTGCCCAGCTACCACTGGCAACCACTCAGAGGGAGATCTATGTAGGAGATCCTGGATAGAGTGGAAAAGCAATGTGGAACAAAACGCAAAATAATAAAAAAAAAAAGTGGTGGGGGGGGACCAGGTTTGCTGGTGCGATAGAGCCTGGTGGAACCGTAGACACTATGGCCCCTAGCTCCCCTCAGGTCTGGAATTCAACCCACTCCTGTGGCTTCCAGCCAAACAAAAGACAGCCATATAAGCTGAACATTTACATTAGGTAGACACACTCCTTGGAGAGATCAATCATGGGAGAATAGAAAGTCTGTGTATGTACAGGGAGACAGCTTGGGAGGGCAGGAGTGCATGGGAGGGAAGGACACAGGGAAGAGGTAACTATGAAGAGGAAGTGGGAGGGCAGCTGTTGCACTGTGGGAAATTGCAGTCAATGTAAGAGAAAGTGTATGTGAACTGCTGTATGGAAAATGAATGTGCTCTGTAACCTTTCACCAAAATCACAATAAAAAATAAAAATAAAAATAAAAAGATAAGAATTGACCATAAACTCAAGGCTGAGTTCCCAGGTTTTAAGACTGTCCTACAGATCTCAGACTTGCTAGCCTCATGATCATGAGAGCCAATTCCATAAAATAAAATTTGCTATTAGTTCTGTTTTTCTGGAGAACACTAACTGATATACTCTCTAAGCCAGGTGTCATGAATTGAATTGTGTCCCCAAAAATTATGTTATTAATCCTAAACCTCTGTTATCTGTGGGCAGAATCTCATTGGGAACAGAACTTTCTTTGTTATATTGAGACAATACAAGTGTATGGCATGTCTTAAGTCAATCACCATTGAGATATAAAAGAACAGATTAAATACAGAGAACAAATCACACATGGAGGGAAAGATCCGTGCCACGTGAAGATCACCAAGGAACCCAGGAGCACAAGCTGAAAAGAAACAAGGACCTTCCTCCAGAGCTGGCAGAGATAGAAAGCTTTCCTCCAGAGCCTGTGCCCTCAATCCAGATTTCTAGCCTCCAAAAGTGTGAGAAGATAAATGTTTGTTAAAGCCAGCCAGTTGTGGTACTTCTGTTATAGTACCAAAAAGAAACTAAGCTGCCAGGATAAATTCAAAGAGGATAAATATTTACATACACACACATTATGATAGCACAAAAAATTAGTTTATTATTTATAATAATAAGTGGGGGATATTTTTTTAATTAAAATACTATATCTTATGTGGAGAGATTGGGACTCTCATACACTGCTGGTGGGACTGTCAAAATGATATCAACACTAGGGAAAGCAGTATGGCAATTCCTTAAAAAGCTGAAATTAGAAATACCATTTTACCCAGCAATCCCATTACTAGGTATATATAAACCAGGATAAGAACATGTATGTGCAGACCCATGTACATCACAGCACTATTTACAATAGCAAAAAGATGGAAACAACCTACGTGCCCATCAACAGAAGAATGGATAACCAAACTGTGGTATATACACACAATGGAATACTATACAACACTAAAGAATATTGTAGAATCTGAAAAACACATAACATGGATGAACTTGGAGGACATTATGCTGAGCGATATAAGTCAATTACAGAAGGACAAATATAGTATTAGTTCATTATTATAAAACGTCAAGGAAAGGTTTATATATAGAAGGAAATTTTTTTTTTGGTTATCAGGGTGGGGAGGGGAGGAGAGGGAACACCACCAAAAAAAAAAAAAAAAAAAAGAAGCATTGATCCATGTCACTTTAGTTTTGTGTATTTCACTGTACATAAATTATATTTCAATAAAAAGAATTTTTTTACAAAATACTGTAACATAAAAAGCAATAAAAGAAAAGATGGAAATTATTTACTATACATAAAATAGAAAGTCTGAATAATAAAAACCATGACATAATGGGAAAATATATTTGCAGCTTTTATAACAAATGGCCAATTTTCTTAATGTATTAAGAGTTTCAATAATCAATAAAAGACTAACCATCTGAATATATTACTTTTTTCAAAGGTTTGAATAAAATGTAGAAAACAATCTGGCTACCATTTGGATACATCTTCATCAAAGTCTCCTACACTTACATATTGAGTTGTATGAGTGCATGTTTCACAGAATCTAAAAAAATACTAAATTCCATAGCTGATTGGCACAGTGTGAAAATGATGGCATAGTGCCTAAGGCATTTGACTGATAACCAGAAGGCTGGCAGTTCAAATGTACCAGCCACTTGGAAGGAAGATTGGGCAATCAACTTCTGTAGAGATACTGCCTGGAAACCCAAGGAGGGGTCACTATGAGTCAGAAATGACTCAACAACAGTAAGTTTTATACACTAGTAAGAAGTCAACATAGGAAGTAAGAGTTAACAACCACAAACCTCCTTTCCCATCCCAACTATTCACATTGAAAGATATTTTAGAGGGCTTTAGACTACTTGGGAAGGAAAACTGAGATTTATGTTAGCAAGATAATCTCGACTAACATTTGTATGATTAGAGGACAAAGCAATGAACACACAAACATCAATTTACATCAAGTGGATGCTGACTGATACAACTCTATATGATAGAATAGAACTGCCTCATCGGGTTTCCAAGGCTATAAATTGTTACGGAAGCAGACTGCCACATCTTTCTCCCATGGAGTGGTTGGTGGGTTCAAACTGCCAACCTTTTGATTAGTAGTCAAGTGTTTACCCACTGCACCATCAAAACACCACATGCAATGAACTAGAAGTCACATAAACCTAGACTCAAAATCTGTGGTGTTGTACACAACTCTGGGCCAATTTCCTCACATCTGCAAATGAGATGACTGATAGATCTTAATTCCTGTTTGTATCGATGTTATCTAGCACAGTGCCTGGGAACAGAAAATACTCAATAAGCACGAGTTCTTTACTTAGCTTCCTCCTTCTGAAGTCAGTTTTACTCAAATTACACCCAGATTGTAATAAATTGAAGGCAGGTGTTTTAATTGGGACTTGACTTTATTGTATGCAACAGAAAACACAAAAATAAAATTTCTCTTTCATTTTAAAAGAATTCAGATTTAAGAAGAACTGGGGTTTACTAAAAGATAAGAAAAATAAATTTACAAGATAACAGCTACATTATAGATATAGGGAGTAGTTAATCAGTATGGAAATAGGTCAGATTACTCCATCATTGATTTTCTTTACAATATGAAATTAATAAAATATATACTGTTTTTGTGCGGGGGGTAGGGGAGAAGAAGAAGAAGAACTGGGGCTGGTATGACATCTCAATTGGAATCATCAGGGACTCCAGCTCCCACCTTTCTTTCCAGTATCCTAGTAATATTTTTCAATGTCAAATTACTTCATAGTTTCAGATGGCTGTTGGTGTTCCAACCATCAAATCTGTGTTCATATAACACTGAGCTGCTAACTGAAGGGTGTGTGGTTCAAACTCACCAGCCATTCTGCCAGAGAAAGATGTGGCAGTCTGTTTCATAAAAATGTATAGCCTTAGAAACCCTACAGGGGCATTTGTAGTCTCCTATAAAGCACCTATGAGTCAGAAGAGACTTGACTGTCAAGGGGTTTGGTGTTTTGGTTAAACATAATTAAATTGAAAAAAACTTCAAGATACCCAAACCCAATACCATGGAGTTCATTCTCACTAATAGAGGCGCTAAGGAAAGAGTAGAACTGTCCCTATAGGGTTTCCAATGCTGTAATCTTTTTCCCGTGTAGGGGCTGGTGGGTTTGAACCAGGGATCCTTTGGTAAGCAGCTGACCCCTCCTTACCACTGCACCACCATGGCACCTTTTCATCAAGATGCGGTAACTGATAAAGTAAGATATAAAATGTATAGTTTAGTACCAACTGAATGTGCTATCTAATTATAAATGCATTGAGTTATTTCTAAAAGTTCATAAAAAACTGGTCAAAGTTGTGACTTTGAGGAATAGGAAGAAGACAGATGGGTAACAACTGGGAATGGCTATAATCTTTTGTTCATTTGACATAAAACTGTATGTGTTAAAAGCATTCTAAAGGTATCCACCCACCACCCCAGCCAGAGACAAATCACTTCCCTCTACTTCATTATGGAGTGGATAGATTTTTCTAGCCTACATTTTCATTGGGGGGAAGGGGTATTATTTATTTATTTTACATATGGAATCAACCCATTTTCAAAAATCTATAAATAGCAAATACTTACCCACTTAGCAATTGGACATCCATGAGAGCTTTTTCCTTCTTTTCCCGTATACACCACTATTTCTATTCTTATTGCATTTCCTTTTTGGCCAAATCTGTGTACAAAACACAGTGGAGGGAAGATACTAATTAATTATGGTCCATCCTCAAACCCTAAAGCTTTTGGCATCTTAATGTACATGAGACAGATTTGCATAAATTCGAAATTAAACGGTGTTCTGAATTTTCTTTTTTGTGACACATATTTTTATTCGTATTCAGTTCTGTTTACTTATCCTTAAAAATCACTCTTTAAAAATGGCTTGGCTCCAGGACAAACAAAAGGAATGAATGCAGTGTCAATGCTGGTAATTTGAACTGTTTCTATCATTGTACAATAATATACAAATAAGTATTTCTGAATTTAACAAAAACATTAGCCCTGTTTTGTGGGTGGCTTGTTGAGTGTCCAACAATTCATAGGATGCGTGACTCTGTAGGGACACGAGGATACTCCTCTGTTCCTGGGCCCTAAGAGACATCCAGCTCATGTTCCTGAAGGGTTTCCATTCACCTCAAGCTTGTTCCCAGTTGTAATTTATCTGCATTGACTCAGGTCCACAATAAAGAATGGTTTTGACAGGGAAGTATTTGTCCTCACCTATTCTCCATGATTTCCCTGACAGCAGCAACACTTGGTCCTGCCCCAAGGTGTGTATAATATGGACCTTTGTCTTTTTGTATAACTCGATCTGTGGAAGGAATAAGATTATTAGATCCAAAGCTTTTACAGAATTTCACAAGGGCAAGGAGGAGGTATAGTTCACTAATTTCTTTTTCAATATAGAACCATGACTCTTGATAAGATTTTCATAAGCTTTGATGACTGAAGTCAAGGACAATAGGCTCTGGAATTTAATGTTAATGTTTGTTAATGTTCCTTTCTTCCTACTGCTCCTAACTAATTCTTTCTTCCTCCTAGAATTAGAGGAGGAAAACAAAAAAGAAAATGAGTATCTGGACCAGATTTATTTTCCTCCTTTTGAGGTGCAAAGTTAAAAGTTATGCAAGAACAATGAATCAAAAAGGCTAGACCTCCAAACCTTATTAAAATGGAACACAGCAATTCCACTGCTTAGAACTTATTCTACTATACACTAGCACAATTGTGTATTTATAATGCAAATGTACACAAATGTTCCAAGTTACAATTATTTCTAATATCAGAAATAAGCACCATTAACATGTCAATAGTGATAAAAAAAAAAAAAAAAGACAGCAAACTCACTGCTGACTAGTCGATTTCAACTCATAGCAATGTCTCCTTGGGTTTCCGAGACAGTATCTGTATGTAAGATTGCCCAATCTTCCTTCCAAGGAGGGGCTGGTGGGTTTTAACTGCCAGCCTTCTGGTTAGCAGTCAAATGCCTTAGGCATTACACCAATAGGTTAAATAAATTATGGGACATTTATATAGTGGAATATAGTAAAGCTATTAAAATAATAATACTTAGAAACATTTAAAATGTCTAAATAAAGCTAAAAAAGCAAACTGGAAAAACAGTATATTTAAAATTGCCCTTTTTATAAAAATGGAAAGTAATTAGAATCAGTGATGGTGATTCATATAGAAAAACTTAACAGGTGTATTATCTTCAGAAATGGGACTATGTAAGAATATTCATATCATATTTTATGTTTGTGGTTTTGTGAGCATGAATGATATATTTATTAGAAAACAGTATTTTTTATTTGGGCTCTTCGAATTGGGCCTAACCAGGATCATTGGGAAATAAATGCATTTCTGACTAGGGTGTACCTGCACCATAAGGTCATTACTGGAACATTTTGATCAGACATCAAATACACAGTAGGATTGTGTATACTGCTTCTGAAACAAGGATACTGAATAGATTTTACTATTATTGGTGATGTACAATGGTGGTTCTTAACCAGGGACAATTTTGCCCACAGAGGGCCATTTGATAATGTCTGGGGACATTTTTGGTTTTCACAACTGGGGAATGAGGAGCTAATAGCATCCACTGAGCAGAGGCCAGAGAGGCTGCTAAACAATCTGTAATGCACAGAACTCCCACACACATCAAAGAATTACCCAGGCCCAACATGTCTAGTGTAGAGGTTGAGGTGCCCTGATCTAAAGGTTAATCATTGTATTTTACTACAACAAAATATCCCATGGAAATCACTTATCATCAGATATGATGGTATCAATTCTTGTTTTTGCTTTTCTGGCCTTTAGTTTCAATTACTATACAATGAGCACAATAACCTTGCATTTAATGCTTAAAGGAAGACAGGAGTGATAGTCCTTGAAACAGTTCTGGGCACATTTCAGGTGCTCAATAAACTTGGAATACCTGGCTGTTATTGTTAATGGCCTTATGTTTTAACCCCTATACTGTGACTAGTTAACATGTATAAGGAAAGGGTCTTGAAAGAAAACAATCATTCTATTGGGACCACCATGCACTTTATAAAACTAGACTAGCTTGGGTACATAAACTTCAATACTGTTTTTTTTTTTTTTTTTAAATAAGAAGTCATTTTCTCCATTTGTAGTGAAATTCAGAAAAGTGTTCACTTTCATCACAGATTTTTGAAGCAATAGAGGGTGGAGGTTGTAAGTTTAGGTTCTAGAGTTGAGGCCCCATCTATGAATCTGAGTTTAACCTCTTAACACAACTTCTCTGTGCCTTAGTCTTCTCATTTGTTAAACAGAGATAGTAAACCCTCCTCCTTTTATGAGGCTGTTGTGAGATATAATATGTCAAAGGCATGGCACGGTACCACCCTGGTAGTAAAAGCTCAGTAATATGAGCTGTCTTCATTATAATAACTTCTCCCTCACCCAAGTCTCCCTAAGCGGACAGCATTGTCACCCTTTCTAGATTGTGAAATCCTTCCCAGGAGGACCTACCCTCAGTTCTTGGCACATCCTATCTGTTAAAACTGTGTGTTGAATGATGAGTACAGAAATGGAAGGATCAAAATATCAAATGTATTTTGAATAATCAAGAACTAAAAGTCCTTTCTATATTCTAGTATCATTTCTACTGTAGTTTGAAAAAAAAAAATCAGTGATATAATTATCCTTCTGAATAATCCTTTAACAACACATTCTGTACTGTACTAACAAACCACTTACTCCTAGTGAAAAGCCTACCTATTGTTTAAAGCAAAATCTTGAGCCTTTGTGATTTAAGGCAGTATTTTAAGTGAGACAAGATTTTAATAACTAAACCCTATTTGAAGAAGGTTGAAAACATGTTATTTTCCAAATTCCATCTTATCACAGGTTGTATAATAAATGAAATAATAAAGCTTTAAGCAACCTAACACACATTAATGACTGAATCTATTTCATCTCCCTATTTTTCACAGCTACAATACATTTTTTTTTTTTTTTTTTAAGGATTTGGGTGAAGATTTACAGAGTAAACAATACATTTTTAAAAAGATCTTTCTATATTTGAGAACCTTCATGAAATCTGACCATAGGCAGTGACTGATTATTAGTATAGGAGTCAAATTAAGTTTTGATAGGCTTCAAATATTTACCAAATTTCTCATAAAGACTGCTTGAGAATCTACTCCAGAAAAATTTTCACAAGACTTTAAGACACTGATAAAACTTCTAATAATTTTTTAACTTTCTCTTTCAATGACTCCTAAGGTATAAGTACCCTGGTTAGTAATCAATATACAATTCAGCTGTTAGCATTAGCCTGTTATTGTTATTATAATTTTCAAATAGGAAACAAATATTTATTGAATAAATTTGTTTAAGTATTTTAAAATGCAAAGGATCTAGGAATTTGTCAACCAGCTAAGATTATGTAACTTTTTCATGTATGGGTAAACTCTTTGCATCACAGAGCATAAAACCACTAGGTACTGAAAAAGAAATAAATTACTTTCTAGTTTTGGTGGCAATTGTACAGATATTTTTATAGTTATTTGTTAAGTTGTACATGTTTTTTACTCTCTGTATGCATGTTAAATCTTATAATAAATATTTTAAAAAAAATAAGTCTTGTAGGTTGAAAGTCTTTTGAATATAGGCAGAATAATCAAATTGTAATAAATTATTACCAGGATTCATTCTTGAGCTATGCACTATAAACAACTCCAGACACATTTAGGCTTCACAGAAATCAGCAGATTTTTCACTTGAGAAGGTTTAAGTCTGTTGTTTCCAAATTATGAGTTGCAGTTTCCATTTATCTTAGCAGAATCAATAAATGTCCCACCAAAAATATGGACACAGAATTGCCCAGACCATAATTGCTTATATATGAATGAGGCAAAAATATCATGCTTAAAAGATGACCCAGAACTTGAATCTATCATGACTGCAGGAAATGGATGCAATACACAAACACTTACCTAGACAGTTGCAGGTTGGCAGATCCGAATCTTTTGTTGTAGACACCAGGTTTTTTGTGGGGTTAGTAAAGAAGTTCATGGCATAATCATTAAAATTTTTCTGTGCACTGTCTCCTGGAGAAAATTCTGATGCTCCAATGCTAGATGAACAGACGTCCTCTTCACTTTTGGTTGAAACCACTGTAATTCCACCTGAACATACTACATTTACATTCCTGAGAATTTCTGCTGGGTCCGATAGGGGTCTCTCATGAGAGATACCAGGCAATGTCAGCAGTCTCTGATGCGTGAGTTGCTCTTTCATATCCTGCTGAAACTGTGTTTGGTCATCTCCAGCCATCTGGTTAGCGCACTGGGTCGGTGGAGAGGAGGGCTGGGGCAATGGATGAGCTTTCTGATTGACATTCCCTGTTAGCTGTACCTGAGAATTGTAAGCTTTGTCTGTAAACGCCTGCCCATTGGATTCTGTTTTGAAGTGGGATAAAGAATCCAATGGTTCAAACTTTATCATTTTTTCCTGGGCTAATTCAGGATAGTATCTCTCAAATTTTATCTGAGTGAGAGGAGGAAATAATTTTTTGTGTTGTAAAGCTGAATTTGTATGAGTCAGTGGCTTCCATGCTTTGGTTAGGGGAGGAATTTTTCCCAACAGAATAGGAAAATCATGTGGGACAAATTGACCAAATCTTTGAAATTTGGATGCCATCCAAATTTCATATAATTTACTATATTCATATGACAACTGTTCCTGTTTCTTCTGGTCATTTTCTTCACAACTTATGACTATAGGCTTCTTTTTCCGTCGATCTCTTGGTGGGGTGGACTTTGTCTTTTTCTGGGATGTGTGCTTTTGTTTTGTTAGTGATGAGCCATGATTGTTGTGTACACTTGAAGGTGGCTTCTGCTGTACTGTGCTCTTCTCCTGACTACATTTCTGCTGTGCGTCATGTGCAGAAAGGCTTGCTGGTATACTTTCATATCTTTTCTCCTCTGGTTTTATATAATTGCATTTAATTATTGATGCAAGTTGTGTTAACTGTGTTGCAACATCTTCCTCTATTTGACTATGAGCTGCATCCTGACACGACAGATCATCCTTTGAGTCCAACTTTTTACTGCTGTCCGGTAACTGGTTACAATACTCCAATTTATTACTTCTTGGTGGAAGCTGATGTAAATTTGTGGAATAACTGTCAAGAGTAATTCTACCTTGAGCAACATTTTTATTGGTGTCATTTTTAGACGAATTTGAATTTGGCATAAAGAGAGATGTTGAATTTGTGACTTTTGAATATTCCTGTGACTTAGTGGATGATTGGTTAATAACTGAGCTGTTGTGTGACTTGGAAATGGTGTTTTGGCCATTGAATACCACCATATTGCATGAACTTTCCTTTTCCAAAGATTGAGAGTGATGCAGGCTTTGTGGTGCACCTTGTGAGTTTGGGTCTTGGAGGTCTTTTCTTACAGAGTAGAGAATAGCTTTACAGCTGTTAAGCAAACTCGCTGTTCTCTGCTCTGATTCTTCATCCTTCTCTGATTTTGATGGTGAAGAATTCTCTGATGGAGCTTCTGAGAGTTGAGTCAGGGCCTCTATGGCCACCACTTGCTCGAGCGTTAACCTCCTATCTTTCATTAGGGATAAAAGACTTGGCTGAACTGGAGATCCATCTTTTGGTTCTTTAACGGGTATACTCTCAGGAGTTTTAGGCTGATCACTTTCATTGTGTGTGCTGCTATAACTATTTAAATTAAAATTTGTGGGATCTGGGACAGACTTGGAGTTAAATCCAGGTTTCTGGAAGACAAAGACATTACTTGCCCCCTTGAGATGATCACAGGTCACACTAGTAGCAACAGAGCTCATGGCATTCTTATGGTTTGCAGTGTCTTTTAGGAATTTATAGGAATTGTTTTCAAGTGCCTTGCCAAATTTTTCAATATTAAATTTTTTAAATGATACACTTGTTTCAGTTGGTAAATAGCGTACGTTTTTAATGCCATTTTTTACAGTTTGTGCAAATAATTTCTGAGGTTCAAGGAGGTCAGAAAGTATGACGTTTTTCCTATCATCTTTAGAGTTCTTCCATTTTTCTGCTTCTGTCCCAGTTGCACTGAAATCTCCTTTGACATGATCAGTTAAATGTGATTTCTTGCTTTGTGTCCACTTCTCCACTTCAATACCTGTCATGCTTTCTTCATTTCTAGTTACATTTTCAAGGGGATATGGGTTCACTTCCAATCTTTGTTCTTCCACATGGCCACATCTACCGTATTCCATGGATTCTGACTTGGGGCCATTTACTGGTTTCTTGTCAAAATCTGCCTGTAAAAGAAATACAGAAATTACTTTTATATCAACTATTTTAAATATCTGAGTAAAAATTATAGGAATTTCACAGTTCATGACCAACTAAATGTGAAGCCCCTATGGGTACAAACTCAAACAAATTTTACTTTTTCTATATTGAGAGAAGTCATAAATTTCCAAAAAGAGGAATATGGGGAGAAGGAAAAAATAAGAAAATCATAAATTATAATAATGTCATGCTTATTAATATTTTAGTGTAGTCATTTGTTTTTCCAAATACTTTGGTACCATTCAATGAGCAATAGTTATTACTTTAATGCATTTTGTATTGAAGTAAAAAGTGTACAACTCATACAGTTAGCTTACTGAATTTCACAAAATGAACACCTATGCACCCAAATCTCAACCAAGGAACTCCCTAATAGTCACTCTTCCCCCAAGGGTAAGTACTACTTTGACATCTTAACATCACAGATACCTTTGTTATTTTTGAACTTTACATAACATAACTGGTTTATTTCACTCAAAATATACTTGAGGGTCATCCATGGTTTTACGAATATTTATAGTTCACTGATTCTTATTACTGTATAATAATGAGATTTTCATTACACCAGTGGGTTATTTCCACTTTTTGGCTCTTACACTTACAATGCTGTAACATGTTAGTGTGAAAAAAAAAATTAAAAAGTATGCATTGGGTATAAACCTAGCAGTGGAATTGCTTGGTCACAGTGTGTGTATGTTTGTGTGTGCATGGGTATATCTTCAGCTTTAGCAGATAGGACAGAAAGTTTGCTAAAGTAGTTATACCAAAAGGTCCTTGGGTGGTACAGACTGTCTGCACTTGACTAATAACCCAAAGGTTGCCTCTTCGAACCCGCCCAGTGGCATCATGGAAGAATCATGCCTGGCCAACATCTTCTGTAAAGACTAGAGCCAACAACTCTCTAGAATCTAGAGTTGCCTCAAAAGAATATCTAAACAAACAAATGCCTCAATAAAGTAGTTATATTAATATGCATTCTCACCAGTAATTATGAGAGTTCCAACTGTTTTACATCTTCATTAATAATCAATATTTTCTGTCTTTTAAATATACCCATTGTACTGAGTGGGGAGTGGTAGTATTACAATTTTTAAAAGTTCACATAACATACAATCCATTGGTTTTTAATATTTTCACAATGTTATGCAATGATCACAAATATTTAATCCCAGAACATTTTCATTACCCAATAGAAAACCCTTGTTTACCCATTAAGCAGCCATTTTCCGCTCCTTATTCTAATTTTTAATTTTTTAAAAAAGGAAAACATTTCACTAAACATCACATCTTAGGAATTGACACAATAGAGGGACTTGCGTTAATATCAGCAGCAAACAGAGGATAACCTCTATACTACTTATATGTAGCATGGCTTTGAAGGTTCTAGTCAATGGCAAAAGAAGAGAGAAAAATATAAATATCAAAACATTTCCTGTTCAATGATCTTAGAAAAACCAGGAGTATCGGCCGAAAAATGAATCAAGAGTTCAGAAGGGCAATGGTTACATTCAAAATATAAAATATGTGAACATTATAAAATTAAACATTTTTTAAAATTACTAAAATTATATTTCATTTCTGCTCAAATTACAGATTACACACATATGTTCAGTTACTCAAACTTCATTAAAATATATCAGTTTTAGATGTACATTTTTCTGTAGGTATACTGCATTTAAATAACAACTTCTTAAAAATCAATTTGATGTAAATACCTACCTCTTTTGAAAAAAGATAACATCAGTATAAGAGATTTTTTACAATAAAATACACTAATAATTTTTAACATTCAATGTAGATATAGCCATAGACTACCTAATAATATTTAATAATTTACTATTAAGGAAGCTGGCATTTCTACGTTGTGGCTAAAATACCAACTTTTTAATAATGGCACCAGGAGAAGGTCTAGTCTCTACCTCATAACATGCAACTTAAATGCTGGATACATAAATAATTTAAATGTAAAAAAATATAACAATAAGAAAATATAGGAAATGGGGAAAATCTTTGTAAGCAAGAGAAAAAAGTGAGAGGCCATAAAGAAAAAGATGTCTTTAACTACATTTAAAGTAAATAATTTTAAAAACAAAAGACAGCATAACAATGTTTCACAAATTACTGATCACAACCTATGAGTTCTAGAATCAATATAGTGTTTTCTGATTTTTTGTAAAAAGAAAATAACATACAGAAAGCTATGAATATTTCTATGTGTATTCACATAGAAGTACTTTACTACCTTTAGTACATTTAGCACTACTTTACTACATTTAGTAAAGTATTTCTATGTGAATCTTTCAAATTAAGTTTTTGTGACTGCTGACCTCTCTGAAAGGGATCACAATAAGAGGTTCCAGACAGAGGGGAGGAAAAAGTGGAACAAAACACAAGATCAAAAAAGACTAGCTCACTGGTCTGATGAAGATTCATAGAACTCTGGAGATTATGGCCCTTAGACACCCTTCAAGCTAGAAATAAAACTTAGCTCCCTTAGTGACTCAACTGTCAGGCAAACAGGCAGTCTTCGAAGGTGAACAGTAATATCAGGAGGGTATGTACTCATTAGAACAATCAAACATATGGGATCAAGGGGATATTTGCCCAGGGATAGAGCTAGGAAGGCAGAAGTCAGGGGGAAGAAATGACAAGGGGAAGGGGTGGGCAGACATAGGAAATGGGAAGAAGACTGTTAAAGCGTGGGGACTGCCATAAATGTTGCAAAACAAAATGTGTATGGATTGTTGAATGGAAAACCAATTTACTCTATAAACTTTCACACAAATCACATTTAAAAAAAAAAAAAAAACGTTTATGAGTCTGTGTAGAGAATCATGATTTAAAATGTATTTATTTCTTGATATGTGTAGCACTAAGAGAATTATTGACATAATTAAAATAAAAAGTTAAATGATAAGCAGGGGAAAATATTCATAACACATTTAATGGGTCTTCCTAATGTAAAAGATGTATAGTGGGTTTAAAATGGCTCAGTAGATTAGTGAGCAAAAAATAGAAGTGAGCAAAAGATAGGAAAGCAAGAAAATGATAGGAATGAGAAATTCAAGGGTGAAAAACTGCTCAACATTACTACAAGACAAGAAAATGAAACAAATACAGTTTTTCCAAACATCCAATTAGTTAATAAAAAAACAAAAGCATATATTATAAGGCACTACAACATTTGTCTACCACTTGTCTTTCAGGTTGTTGTATCATGGTGGCTTGCATGTTGCTTTGATGCTAAGCCACGGGTATTTCAAACACCAGCAGGGTCACCATGGTGGACAGATATCCGTAGAACATTCAGACTAAAACAGACTAACAAGGAGGACATGGCCAGGACACTCATGAAAAAATTGGCCACTGAAAGCCTTATGAATAGTAATGAAACAATGTCTGAAATAGTGCTAGAAAATGAGTCCCTCACATTGGAAAGCACTCAAAATACAGCTGGATAAAAGCTGTATCTTCAACATAGAGTCAACCTTAATGATGTGGATGGAGTAAAGGTTTTGGGAACTTCATTTGCTTACTTGGCACAACTCAAAATGAGAAGAAACAGTGGCAAACATCCATAAATAATTGGAAGATGGAATGTACAGAATATGAATCTAGGACAATTGGAAGTTGTAAAAAAAAAAAAAGAAAAAAGAAAATACATAAAGATCGATATACAAGGCATTAGTGAGTTGAAAAGGACTACTACTAGCCATTTTGAATTGGACAATCATATGGTAAATGATGATAAGAGTGAAAAATTGAAGAGGAGTGTTATTGTATTCATTGTCAAAAAGAACATTTCAAGATATATCCTGAAATAAAATGCTGTAAATGATAGGATAATATCCATAAGCCTACGAGGAAGACAAATTAATATGACTATTGATTCAAATTTATGAACCAACTACTAAAGTCAAAGATGAAAAAATTGAAGATTTTTACCAACTTCTGAGGTCTAAAATTAACCAAACATGCAATCAAGATGTACTGATTACTGGTGATTGGAATGTGAAAGATGGAAACAAACAAGAAGCATCAGTAGCTCAAAAATATGGTCTTGGTGATAGAAATGATGCCAGAGATCATATGATAGAATCTTGCATGACCAACGACTTTTATACTGCAAAAATGTTTTTGAAACAACGTCAACTGTGATTATACACTTAGACCCACCAAGTGGAATGCACAAGAATTAAACTGACTACAGCTGTGGAACGAGATGATGGAAAAGCTCAATAACAGTCAGAACGAGGCAAGGAGGTGGCTGCAGAACAGACCATCAATTGCCCATGTGCAAGTTTAAGGTGAAGCTGAAAAAAATTAAAACAAGTCCACAAGAGCCAAAATACAACTCTGAGTATATACCACCTAAATTTAGAGACCATCTGAAGAATAGATTTGATATATTCAACACCAGTGACTGAAGACTAGGCGTTGTGGGATGAGATGAAGGATATCATTCACAAAAACAAAAGGTCGTAAAAAGATAAGAAAGGAAGAGAAAAACAAAATGGATGTCAGAAAAGAGTCAAACTTTTCTTGAATAGAAAGTAGCTAAAGAAAAGGGAAGAAGTGATGAAGCAAAAGAGCTGGACATATGATTTCAAAGGACCACTTGAGAGGACAAAGTAAAGCAATATAATGAAATGTGTAAAGACCTGGAGTTGAAAAATCAAAAGGGAAGAACATGCAGTGCATTTCTCAAGCTGGAAGAACTGAAGAAAAAACTCAAGCCTTTAATTGTGATATTGAACAATTCTATTGGCAAAATACTGAAAAAATGTAGGAAGCTTCAAAAGAAGATGGAAGGAATACAGACTCACTGTACTCAAAAGAACTGGTCAACATTTAGCTATTTCAGGACCTAGTATATGAACCAATGGTATTAAAGGAAGAAATCCAAGCTGCACTGAAAGTATTAAGGAAAAACAAGGTTCCAGAAATTGACAGAATACCCACTGGT